CCGGGACGCGGCGGGGTGGCCAGCTCAGGTGACCGGCTGCCCTTCCGGGTGTGGTGGGGGCTCCCTGCGTGACTCATGCCCCCAGGTAGTTGTAGCTCAGGAAGCTTCACGGAGAGGGGAGAGCACCCGTGGACGGTGGCCTGCACACTCTAGTCAGACCCTGATTCACCGGCCCGCAGGCCCAGGCCCGTCCTGAGGGGGCGCCAGTGCCCGCCCGCCCCCCCCAGGCCTGCGTTCAGTTTCTGGGCCTCCCGGACACGCTGGGCAGAGGCCTTTTTAATTTCGGAAATTAGAAAAGTCACAAAGTGACTTCTTAAGGGAGGCAGTTTATGAGACCAAGCACCCTCTCCTGGTTTACCCGACTTTCGTTAGTGCTTTTTTGGTGGGTCGGTTCTGGTGAAGAAGTGGGGGGAGCTGTGTGTCGTGCCGCAGTGTTGAGCTGTCACGTGGCTCCTCCCACCGCGCCAGCCGGGCCACAGCAGGGCCACAGTCGGGCCGGGCTTCCCTCCTCCATGTGCGGGGGGCCCGCTCCGTCCCAGGTGCCAGCGGGCACAGCCCACCCCCCTCTTCCTCACCGTCCTGCCGTCCCGTGTGCCCCGCCCAGAGACCTTTCTTGTGCAGGGGCACAGGCAAAACCGCGTGTGGGACAGGCGACCGTCCCCAGGGTTTGCGGCCGCAGAGCGCTGTCCACCGGGCTGGCACCTTGCAGGGCACCTAGACGTTCCTGGCGCCCGAGCGGATGGGGAGGCAGGTGTGTACGGCCGTGTGGGCCTGGAGTTGGGCTGCAGAGGGGGTGCGCTGCCACCTCCGTCCGTCCGTCCGTTTCTGTCGCGTGGTTGGCTGGCCTTGTGGACAAAGGCCACTGCTGCTCCAAGCTGTGAGGCTGTCACAGCCCCCAGGGCTTTGGTCGGGACTTTAGGATTCCCAGCCTCCAGCGGCATCCCTGAGGGTGGGGTGGGGGAGGTGTGGCGGTCCCACCACGGAGGGGACACTGACCGAGGTGATGGCCCTCAGCGTGCTCCTGGTCTTTCCCGAAAACTCAGATGTCGGTGTCCCCTTGCCTCGGGGGGCCTGGCGGGCCGGGTAATCCAGAAATGCCTGACCCTCTAGTCCTTCAAGGGATTTGTTACCTTACTCGCTGAGCAGACACTCGGGGGAGAGTTATGGCACTTAGGGCAGGAGGATGCCCCACCGCTGTGGCTCCCGTGAGCCTGCCCCGCCCCCTCCCCACCGGGCTTGCCCAGCACTGACAAGTGCTGTCTGGCGGTGGCAGGGTGGCCAGCGGGGCCAGCGATCCCCGCTCCGCCACAGGCCAGTCGCCGGGCCTTTACCAGATCAGTTCCGTTCTCCCGGCCTCAGTTTCCCATTTATGAAATGAGAGCGACGGCGTCATGGCCGGTCTCTCTCCTTCCCCGAGGGCACGGCTTCCGTCCTCAGACCCCTCCGTGTCCCGCAGGCTGAGGTGCAGCTTGGCGGCACCTGCAGGCACCATGTGCGCCCCACGCCCTCCTCTGCGGCCTCGGGGCATCCCTCCGCGCCGTCCCCCAGGAGCCCGTGCTGTTCCCCGGCCTGTGGCCCACACAGCTCTGTGACTGTGCGCAGCCCTGTTTCCAGATGAGCAAGTAGCAGGGAGGGGTCGGGAGGCCTTCCAGGCCACGCAGGGTTCTGACGTAGGAAGAACCTGGGCCCGCAGCGTAGTCTCTGTGACGGCTGCGGGGAAAACGTGGCGCCTCCCTCCTCGCCTGCCCTGGACCCGCAGCTCCTGGGGACAGCGGCCAGCGCTGTCCTGGGGACAGAGGCCAAGTGCCTCTTAGAGGAACGGCCGGGCCGACTTGTGATGGCCGCGTCTGCGGCGAGATGCTGGCCGGGTGTGGCGGGTGGACGCCGTCCTTGCACGGCCCTCGCCAGTCTTTGGTTGGCCTTTTACTTCTCAGAGCTCTCCCCGTCCGTTGGCCTGGCCCACTCCCCAGAGCCCTGGGAGCCCCTCCTTAGCCCTGATTTACAGGCAAGGTGCCCGGCAGGTGCTGGGTGGCTGTGTGCCCACCCCCTGCCCCCCCAGGTCCGCGGAGCGGAGCCTGTGTCTCCGGGCTTCCGGGCCGGGGAGGCTCGCCCCTGTGGAGCCGGCTGAGGCTGCTTCCCGGAGCATGCTGTCCTGTGCGGGGGTGACACAGGGGAGCCTTGGGCTGGCCTCCTCCTCTCACTCCGCTTTTGTTTCCTGCAGGGTCAGGATCGGCGTGAAGAGCCATATGCCGAGGGCTTCGATGACCCGGAAGCAGAGTTCTCTGGGCCTCAGACCGCAGGGGCCCCCACGGATTTCTCTGCGGCCTCCTCCCCTGACCGGTCGCCGCCTCCACCCTGGGACCAGGCCGGCAGTGAGGGCCCAGCTCCTGCCTACGTTGCCAGCGGACCCTTTAGGGAAGCCGGGCTCCCGGGCCAGGTTGCCTCCCCTCTGGGCACAGTGACTGGGAGGCTCTTTGGAGACCCCAGAGACCCACTCTCTGCCACAGGCCTTCGGCGAAGGTTCTTCCACCAGGACCAGTCCCCCATGGGGGGCCTCACCGCCGAGGACATTGAGAAGGCCCGGCAGGCCAAGGCTCGCCCCGAGAGCAAGCCCCACAAGCAGATGGTGCGTCCCGGACGGGCCCTCGGATGGGGCTGGGGCGGCTGCCGTCCACGGTGGTGCCGGTGGTGGGCCCTCCTCCGGGGACACCCCTGGATGTCGTGCTCTGGAGTCTCCAGGAGCACAGAGGCCCCCTCTTGGTGGAGCGGCTGCCTTCGGGGGTGGAGGGGTTCTGGGGGGGCAGCGTGAAGCCCCGAAGGGGGTCCTGTCCCCGATCGCCAGTTCCGTGAGGTCTCTCTCCTTGCTCCCTCTAGCTCAGCGAGCGGGCTCGGGAGCGGAAGGTGCCAGTTACACGGATTGGGCGGCTGGCCAACTTTGGAGGTAAGGTGGCCGTGTGCCCCCGTGCCACCTCACCCGCCCTGGCATGCCAGCCCCGGCTGAGCGGGGCCACCGCGGGGCCTGCGTGGAGGAGGAGGACGGTGGGGGCCACAGGGGTCCCGGGGAGGGCGTCGGCTCCTGCATTAGCTGTCCCTGGCCCTTTCCCTCGGGGGATGACCCAGTGACTGGATTCCTCCTGCCCCCACTGTGCCGTGAGCTGCTCGGGCCACGTCTGGGGACGGTATCTGCAGCATCTGCCACTCAGCCCCTCCGCAAGTGGGGGCGGCGGGGGGGCGGCTGGCGAGGAGAGGTTCCTCACGGGGCTGGTTAGTCCCGGCAGAGTGGTGTTTGCCCTGACCCGCCGTGCCTGCGGGTGTCGCGGGTGCTGTCGTGAGGCCTGTGGAGCCGGGAGCTCCGAGAGTAGTATTGCATCGGGTACGCCTGCGCCGAGGGGACGGCCTTTCAGTGAAAGGTTGTGGCGCTTGCACCTGCTCTGACGCCGTGCTGTCATCTCCAGTACTTCTTTCCTGACCCGGGTGAGGGCTCGCTGCCGTGTGTCTGAGCCGCGCCCCGCTCGCTCTGCGCTTTGCTGGGCTTCTGCGTCTCCCTCCCGACACTGTCCATCATCCACGCTGTTCTGTCTCTGCTGCCTCGTGTCCCGGAGATGCCGTCCTAGTTCTCCCTCGGGGTTGGCTCCGTGCTCCTGGAGGCGGACCCGCGTGTGGGCTCTCACGCTGGCTGGCTGTCTTCCGAACGCGCAGAGCCCGCCGCCTTCACTGGATGGAAGTTTCTCCGCGGAAGCTTTCCTTCCATCGTTGCTGTCTTAAAATTTGGCATTTGCTGTTCCTCAGCTGCTCGAGGATCTGGCAGAGCATCGTCTGACTTTCGGGACGGAGTTACTGCTTTATCTCCTTTCGTGGGTTTGCGTTCAGCCGGTGTTTCACGGAGCGTGTGACTTCTGGGGGGCCGCTACCAGGATGAGTTTGGGAGTCCCTGCCCTGGGGGCCTCCGGCGGTCCTTATTCCACAGGAGACCCAGCGCGGCCCCTGTGTTGTAAGAGGCTGTTAGTCGGGGCGGGGCGGGCAGTGTTTGTTCCTACCGAAGTATTGAATGGGGCCCCTCGTCTCTCCCCACGAGTCTGAGGCCCGATCTGTCCCTGGTCGCTCTGTAGTCTTTCTCTCGAGCCCCCTTCCTGCCGCTCCAGATGGGGCTCGCCACAGAGGCTTCCTTTGGCTGATGGGTTTTAGACATGGGTGATCCTCTCGTGGGAGTCTTTGCGGGTGACGGTAGTAGAGGGTCTGTTCGGGGAAAAGTGGTCAGACTGAAGGGTGTGGCGGTAAATTAGAATGTGCTGGAAGGCCATGAATTCCTGGTGAAAGAGGCCGAAGCCAGGCCCTCCTGGGTGGAGGGCAGAGAGGCAGCCTCGGTAAGACCGGGTGCGAGGCTCCCCTTGGGTGGGGGGCGGGTGGCCAGAGGCAGCCTGGGTTGAGGTGAGGTGAGGTGAGGTTCAGGTCTTGGAAGGTGCTTTGTGCCATCAGAAGCCCCCGGAGCCCTCACTGACAGCTGCCGGGATCTGGAGCCGTCCTGGGTGTCCGAGCGCCAGAGGTTGGCCCACGGCTGTGATTCAGGGAGGCCCGTGTTGTTGCCCAGCACTCGGCAGCTCGTGTTTCGGGCTTCGAGGGGGTAGGATGACAGCAGAGAGGGGGCGGGTCTGGGAGGAACGTGCTGTTCTGGCTCCAGAGGTGACTTCTGGGCCTCCTCCCTCCCCGGGACGCGTTCACGCCGTGCGTTTCGACCCTTCAGTGGGTGTGACATGAACTTCGTGGGTCAGGCCCAACATCTGAAAAACAAGTGGAATGGAATTGAATAGAAGACCGTCAGAATTAATGGCAGAGATTCTCAGAACCGTACGCGTTGCAAAGAGCCATTTTGTCCAGAGGTACAAGCATTCTATTTGTGTTCCTCACCGGGTTGTGAGGTGTGTGGTTTCCTGGTGGGTCATTGTCTGCACAGATGGAGGTAACACTCCTCTTCTTTGTTTCTCTAGAAAGCACTTCCAACCTTTTTCCCCTCATGGGGCGACAGGTGGACCGGCAGGTGTGGGAATGTTTTACAAGGGGACATGAAGGAAGGGGACTCCTATAGACCGGAAGGTCGGGTGCTCAGCTAGTGGAGGTGGAGGGCAGGGGCTGTGCCAGCCGTTCCGATGCCGAGATGGGGGTGGGCGTCCTGGGTCCAGGCCGGCTCTGGGGTATCATGGCTAAGATGTGGGCAGTAGGTCCTGGTAAAGAGTGATGATGGGAAAGATGGGTTCAGATACCAGATTTGGGGTCAGAACTGGGCTTTATGCCGTTGTAATATCTGGGTTATAGTTCCAGCCCTGCTTCCTTGGGACCTAGGTTTTCCCTTCTATAAAATCGGGTTTTTTGTTTTCGTTTTTGTTTTTGTTTTTGTAAGGAGGGGGATAGAAGAGGAGATAGGGTAGGAGTCAAGTTTTTAGGAGAGGCGATCTGACCCAAAATAGTAAATAGGGGAAGGGGAACAGGAGAAAGTGTGGTTCAAGACCTCCCACACTTCAAGAGGGGTCACCAAGCTATGTTCCAGATTCTTTTCCTGGTGCAGAACATTTGTCAGAGATGCTGTGGCTATTTTTATCTGTACAAAAAGTTTGTCAACAATAAAACCCCAAGAGAACATGGAGAAGGCAAACATTATATATACACAAACCAGGCCACCTAGAGGTCACCCAGTTAGCTTTTCGTGAAGTCCCGTCGAAAGACGGGAACTGGGGGGGGGGAGGGGGCGGCAGCGATTGGAGAGACAAGAGCCCAGGATCAGACACACATCACCCCCCGCCCCGTGTGTTCTGCTGCATTTGCCCCATCCCAGATCAGTGGCATAGGTTCGTGGTGATCTCACGGCTTGTAAGTGAAACCTTCTCTTCTCCTTTAGCTCCCACGGCCCCGGGCAGCGCTGCCGCAGGGCAAAGTGCCAGCTCTGGGTACCACGAGGGAGCCGTGGCTCATGGTCTCTCTGGAAGCCAATGAGAAAAGCCCAGAATTTATAAAGGTTAGGAAATTTAGCCTTTCCTTCATGTACCCATCCCTGGGCGGCTCAAGATGGGTCCAGAGGGGGTGAGTTTATTTTTGACATAGCGTGAGCAGGGGAGGGGCAGAGAGAGGGGGACAGAGCGTCTGAAGCAGGCTCTGTGCTGACAGCAGAGAGCCCGATGCGGGGCTTGAACTCACAAACTGCGAGATCATGACCTGAGCTGAGGTCAGATACTCAACTAACCGAGTCCCCCAGGTGCCCCAACAACTCATCTTTTTAAACACACACCCACCCCTGCTGTGCATGGGAGGCACAGCCCAACCCACCGAAGGATACATCTGGCATGTAGAGTCCCCTGCCCCGGAATTAGAAGCCTGAGCAGGAGTCCTTTATCACACATGTGGGCTAATTTGGCGTCAGCTGGTGCGGCCTCGCTAACCTTCTGGTACCCCCTTTCCTGTTCAGACCCAGTTTCCAATCTTCCGGTAGAAAGAGATCAAGTCATGGGGCCACGGAGTGAAATCCGAGTCTCCCCCGGAGCAGGGAAAACGCAGGAGCTCCGGGAGGATCCTGGGGCAGAGACGCTGGCTCCAGTTGGCAAAACGGAGGTGGTTCATAGGCTACGCCCTTGAAACGGTGGTTCTCCCTGGTGATAAAGCAAAGAGTGTTCCTGCTGGGCAGACCCGGAGCTGTCCCCCACTCGCCCTTGACATTGCTCAGAACGCAGTGCAGGAAGGAGGCCCTCAGGGTAAAATGCACAAGAATATGACACCAGAATATCGATATCACGAGACGTTAAAATGCACAGGACCCGTCATCGGCACGCCGCTGGTGCAGCTGGCATCCTGGAGGAAGGGGGCCCATCGTGCCGTCTTCCAAGGGAGCGAACAGATCAAGCTCCAGCGGCCCACAGGGGGTGGGAGTCAGCTTAGGAGCAGCCCCTGTGCCTGCGGGCACTGCCCGTCGCTGGGGCGGGATCCCCGCACCTGGAGCCAGAGGAGACCAGATGTGGAGAGGCCCCGCCTCACACCCAATTCCCCCCCCCCCCCCC